TTCACCCACCCACCCACCCAAACACACACACACACGCCACCCCTGCCCGCACCCGCGCAGATTGTGTCCTTGGAGGTCATGCCGCTCAGAATGAAACACTCCAGGTCCAAAAAGGCGCGCAGCCAGGGAGAGGTCACCACCTCATCCACCACCGCTGCGCAGGGAGAGAGGAGGGAGGGGACCCAGCGGGCCATGTAGGGGTGTGGGGGTGGGTGGGAGCGAGAGAGGCAGCGGGTTGCGTGGGCCGACGGGAGGGGTGGTGGGGAATAGCGGCAGGGTGGGCAGGGTGGCGATGGAGCAAATGGGCAGGGAGGCAGGGAGGTGCCGGGCATGCGGCAGCCAAGTCAGGCGCAAGGGGCGCGGCAGCAGCAAGCTGTGTGTGGGGGGCTGCAACGCACCCGAGAAGGGCCCCGTCAGCTGCCTGGCCACCAGGCCGGCCCTGATCAGGCCGGGACCGTAGCGCCCCGCCGTCAGCGCGATGCCGAGGTCGCCGCGGATGGCGGCAGCCGGCAGCAGCGCGGCCCCCACCTGCAGCGGCTGCATGCGCCGCTCCAGCGCCCGCCACTGCCGCTCCGCCTCCTCCCCGCCCATGCGCCTGCGGCGGGGGAGCCGGCCGGGGCGGCGCGACGGCGTCGCGCGCCGGGCATGAGCCGCTCGCCCCAGTGCAGCCTTACTTTCTGGCGGCGATGTAGCCGTCAGGGCGGCAGCCACTTGTTCCGCTGCCCCCGTTGGGCGGCCCAAGCAGCAGAAACGGGAACAGGCACCCCGCAGTGGGCGCCGCCACCCTGCCCCACCTGATGTTGGCTGCATACGCCTCGCCGTCGCAGATACAGGGAAAGGAGCCGTCAGGCGTGTAGACAACCCACTGCAGCACCACTCACAAACGCCACACCCTTGAGGCCTGCTGCTGCTTGGCTGGGGGCCTGCCCGGTCCCCGCCCGGCCCCCATCCAAGGCTCGCGGCAGCGCCAGGTCAGCCTCAGCTAGCCGGCCGGCAGCAGCAGCAGCAGAAGAAGAAGAAGAAGAAGAGGCACCCGACGTGCCTGCTTGTACTGCGCGCACTCCACGCTCTCCCCCACCGCATCCAGCACCTGCTTCAGAGGGTTGGTGGAGGCGCCGGGGGGGCCTGCAGCTTGCAGCACACGGCGCAGCGCATGCCGACGGCGGGGCAGATGAGCAAGCAGTGCAAGGCTGGCGCCTGCAAGGCTGGCGGGCAGGCTGGTGCCGGAGGAGTGCAGCACATTTTACGGCCAACCTCTCTTGTTCCCTGCCAGGGCTCCCCTGCTGCCCACCTGACAGGCCGGCATAGAAGGAGGGCCCCGCATCGAAGCTGTAGCCTTGGGCCTCAAAGCCGTGGGCCGCGCCGCCGGCATGGTAGTGGCTCTCGCACACCGTCACCCGGTAGCCGTACCGTGCCAGCAGGGCAGCCGCGCAGAGGCCTGGGGGGAGCAGGGCAGCGCAGGTTGTGGCGCCAGCAGGGCGGGTGGACAGGGGCAGCTGGGCCGGCGAGCAGCGGCGGCACTCACCGCCGATGCCGCTGCCAATCACCACCACATCAGTCTCCTGGTCCTTGCCGCTGGCGGCTGCTACTGGCGGCGGCGGCTCCTCGACTGCAACCGAGCAGCGAGTGGCAGCACGCCCCCGCTGTCGCCGCCGCCAGGCGCCGCCGCCACTACTCCTGGCGCCGCCTGCGGCCAGCAGGCTGCGCCCAGCGGCGGGCGTTGTGGATCGCCATTGCGCCTGTGAACATGCCGCGGGGCTGCAGGCGGCCTGCCGACTGGTGCAAACCCCACGCATCGGCCGAGACCGCCAGCCGGGACTCTCGCACAGCGAATTGCACACTGGTGATCGATGCAAGCGCTGGGAACATGCGCATCGGCCCCAGGGCGTCCTTTCCCAGCCCACCCGCCTGTCCCGCCACCTCAGCCGCCGTCTGCACCTCACCCACCACCACTTCATGTCTCTCGCACAGATCAAGGAATGCACGCATGCAGGTCTGACATCAAGTGAAGGTGTGAAATTGTGTGAACAGGCTGGTTGGGGTGCTGTGGGTGAGAAAAAACCATGGAGGAGGCAAGCGGGTGCTGTGTTGGTCGGCATTGTGATACAGAGGTTCACAGCGCCTCTGATGCCGGGTGGAGGAGGGCCTGGCAGGTCCACGCCTGGCAAGTCGACGCCTCTGCTGCCCGGCGGCCAGCCAGGGAGATGGCTGAACCCCGCTCGGCTGGCAAGGCCGGCTCCGCAGGGTGCCTCACTCAGCCTTGGCGCGCCCTTTGGCCTGGCGCAGCAGGTGGCCCCAGGGGATGGCGGCGGCCAGCAGCGGGACATAGGCGCCGAAGATGAGCACCAGGCTCAGCGGGGCGCCACCCGTGGATCCAGTCTTGAGCCAGGCGGGGAGCACCACCAGGCCCAGGAACAGCGACTTGTAGACGAGCTGGAAGAGCGGCAGCGCGCTGCAGGGCAGAGAGCGACCCAGCACGCTGTTGGGGCAAGCTGCTGGGGGACTGGGCAAGCATAAGGCACAGTCAGCAGCTCGCCTGAACGCCAGGGGCTGCGCCAGGCCCGCCGCCGACAGCGCCGCCACGGTCACCCACATGGCGCCCAGCAGCGGCAGCGCCGCCCAGGGCGCCACGCTCCCCTCCCACAGCAGCCGCGAGGCGAGGCTGGGGCCGGCCAGGTTCAGCAGGCCGCTGCTGCCGGCCGCGGCGATGTTGAGGGCATACACAAAGCGCAGGAGGCCCAGCGCCATGGCTGTTGTGAAGGAGGAAACAACGTGTTGTGGCTGCCAGGAGCTGAGGCAGTGGTCCAAGGTACTGCCTCCAGATGGCACCTGCAGGAAGTTGCAACAACAAGTCGAAACGCGCTCCGGCATCGATATCTCCCTGCTTGCAAAGCTTGTGGCAGCGCTTGCAGCACTTGGGAAGCAAAGCCCTGGCAAAGCCCCAATTTGGCCCGCCCCGGATCGCCCTCCCAGCGCCGCTGGCAGCCATGCCCAGCGCTGGCAGCCCCCGCAGCGTGCTGCAGCGCCCCAGCAGCGAGGTGGAGAGAGGGCTGCGTGTCGTGGTGCTGGGAGCGGGCGTTGCCGGCGTCCTCAGCGCCCATGTTGCCTGCCAGCACGCACACAGCGTTTGGCTGGTCGAGGGAGACAGCCTGGCGGCTGGCGGAGGCGAGGCAAGTGCGGCGGAGGAAATTATGAAGGTGAGGCTGAAGCCGCTGCCCGGTCGCGACAGTACCGGCGCGACTGCCGGCCCTACACGCCGCCTCTTCTCCTGGAGATGATCATAGCCTTGACGGCCAGTGCAGAGCGCACCTGCATCGATGCCAGCCCGTGCCTCTGTATGATCGTGCGCTGCCTCCAATCATGCCGCACAGTCTGTTAGCCAATGACCCGCCCGCCGCCGCCATCCACGCCCGCAGGTGGCCAGGCAGCGTCGCGGCATCCCGCAGCTGGCCCACCCCCACACCCTGGCCATGGGCGGCCTGGAGGCCATGGAGGCTCTGCTGCCCGGCTTCAAGGAGGAGGTGAGCAGAGCGCGGCTCACCTGCGCCTGGCGGCGTGTTGCCCCTGCGGGGTCTGTACTTGTGCTGTGCGCCCCGCGGATGGCGCAACCGCATCGCCGGCGGCTGGCCGGCAGCCTGCCACGCTGAGCCTACCTCCTGAGCTCCCACACGCCAGGCTGCTGCAAGCGCTCCCTGCGCTCAATGTGCTGCTGTGAAGGCGCATGCGCCTGCTGTCAAGGTGCTTCCGCTGCCCCGCCCTCCCAACCGTCCGCAGATCCTGCGCCGGGGCGGAGTGGAGCTGGATCTGGCTCGGGACCTGCGCTTCTTCGACTTTGGAGACGTGTATAAGCGCGCCGACGACAGCTGCCTCAAGGTGCGCCGCCCCCCCGCCGCACGGCCGCATGCTGCCGGGCCCCTGCCTCGCCGCCGCGCGGCGCGAGCGGCGAGCCGCCACGCCAGGCGGCGGCACAGGCACGGCTGCGCTGCGAGCATTCCTGATGTCAACAGGGGTGCGGCGCCGGCATGGCGCTGCCGTGGGAGTGCGCTGAGGCGTGCTGTGTGTGCTGTGCATGCCATGGGCGTGCAGAGCGTGGGCGCCTCCCGCGCCCTCATCCAGGCCACCCTGCAAGACGAGGTGCTTGCCCGCAATGCCGGCAAGCTGCGTGTGATGGACGGCTGCCGCGCCTCGGGGCTGCTGTGGAGCGAGGACAAGAGCCGGGTGCTAGGTGGGGACACGCCGCCAGCCGCCAGCTGCCAGCTGGACGCCTGCCAGCCTCCTGAGTCGCAGCCACCCGACACAGGCGGCAGCTTCATGGCTGCCCCTGCCTGCTGCTGCCGGGGGGTGGCCGGGACCGACCTGGCACCTGCAGTCATGAGCTGTACAGCTGGGGCGAGCACATGTGCATGCCGCGTGGCCCTGTGGTCGACCCGGTGTGGCACGCGTGCAGGCGTGGAGCTGAGCACCGGGGAGCGGCTGGAGGCGGATCTGGTCATTGTGGCCTGCGGCCGCTCCTGCCTGCTGCCCCAGGTGCGATGCTGCCAGCCGGCCAGCCGCACGCTGCGGCACGCGTGGGCTTGGGCTCGGCGGCGGGCAGCAGGCTGGGCGCTGCCCGCTGGCCAGGTGGCACATGGGGCGCGGCCGCGCGGCAGGCGCACGCACAGGCGGTGGGCTCGGCACCTGCTTCCTTGCACGTGAAAAGCGGCGCCCTGCCACGCGTTTCTACATGACTGCCTCTACATGGTGCCGTGCCGGCCGCCGCCACCCTGCTTCCGCAGTGGCTCAAGGCGGCCGGCCACCCTGTGCCGGCAGTCCTCAAGGTCAACGCGGGGCTCACTTACGTGGGGCGCCTGTACCGCATGCCAGAGGACTGGGACAAGGTGAGGTGGCCTGCTGATACTGCCGGCGGCGCCTGGCGGGGGACAGCGCTCAGGGCCCGCCCCTCGCCCTTCCCGGCCGCCGGCTGATCCAGGCCGCACCGTGCTGCTGCTGTTCAATGCTGCAGAAGCGCTGGCTGGGTTGCATCACCCTGGGCAGGCCTAACGGCATCTGGGGCGCCGGCATGGTCCCGGTGGAGGGCGGCGTGTGGCAGGTGGGCCCTCTCTCTTTTCTGCTCCACTTTTTGGTTCTTTCCTCTTCTTTCTGTCTGCCTCTCCAGGCGGGCGCCTGCGCTGCGGGGCTTGCCTGGACCCCACAAATGGGGGCCCAGGGCCCGCCTGGCGCGGCCGGCGTGCCTCCCCAGCTTCCACCCTACCCAGCTTCCCCCCAGCTTCGGCCCTGCCTGCCGCAGATGGTTGAGTGGGGCTACGAGGGCAACGTGCCGCCCATGGAGGATGCAGCCTTCCTGGAGGCGGCCGGCAGGCTGCCCGACACAGAGATCTACGAGGCCATCCGCCGTGCCGAGCCCCTCACCCCGCGTGCGTGTGGGGGCGCCCCCTGCAGGCGGCGCCGCAGTCCCAGCCTGTACTTCGGATGTGTGCGCACAGCATCAGCCCAGCACAGCACAGCACAGAAGCACAGCAGAGCAAGGCAGAACTGGGTTGGCACCAATCGCACCGCCGCGTGCATGCGCCCGTCCACGCCGCGCAGTTGAGAAGTACGGAGGCGCCTACAACATCTGCCACAGCTGGGAGAAGGTGCCGCCGCCGCCCGGCGTGCTCGCCATCGGCGACGCCGTCCAGACCCTCAACCCGGCAAGTCCCAGAGGCCCTGCGTGCTCCTGGGAGCCGCTGCCTGCTGCCTGCTTCAAGCCCACGGCGTCTGGGGGTCGCAGAGCGTATTGCAGGCTGTGGCTGGGTTGTGACAGCCGGCGCCAGACGCCGACACACCGTCAGCACTGCGCCTGCCCTGCAGGTGTATGCGCAGGGCATGAGCGTGGCCGCCAAGAGTGCAGAGGCGCTGGATGCGGCCATGGCGGCGGCCCTCCCCGCCGGCGGCAGCCTGGAGGCACGCCGCGCTGCGGCCGCGGGCATGGGCCGCGCTTTCCACCAGCGCCTGGCCGCCGTCATCGCGCCCGCCTGGATGATGGCAACCTCGGAGGACCTCAGGTGGGCTGGCACGCTGGTGCACAGCAGGGCAGGCTGCACTGCGCTGCTGGCGGGCGTGACGTGCAGCCTTCCAGGCGCAGGCGTCAGCGCTGCCCTCGCACCAGCAGCATGCCAGGATGCGGCCGCCTCCCACCCGCGCCCGCGTCGCTGGACCCCCTCGCACCTCCCATCTGCCCACCCGCAGGTACCCGGGGACCAAGGCGCAGGGCGTGGTTCCGCCGCCCCGCCTGCTCTCCCTCTACATCGACTCGCTCTGCAAGGCCTCCCACCGCTCATCCAAGGTGGTCGCACTCAGCAGCAGCAGCAGCAGCAGCAGCAGCAGCAGCAGCAACAGCAGACCATTGTGGGGCCGTGCTCGTGCGCAGCACGGGGTGGCAGAGGCTGCCGCCCACTTTCCTTGCTGGTCGGTTTGGTGCTACAGGCCCGGCCTCCACCGCCGCGCCCCCCCTGCTCCACCTCTGCAGGTGATGGAGTTGTTTTTCTGCATCGCCCACCTGGTGAAGCCGCCCCACTACCTCTTCCACCCGCGCCTGCTGGCCGCGGTGAGCAGCTGGCGCCTGGACTGTTGGTGACCGTGTCCTGGAAGGCAGCACTAGCAGAGCTGGTAGCACCGCGCTTCGGTTCCTCCTACGGCTGCTGCTGCATGACCCACGCCCTGTGCCTTTTTGGCTCCACCACGGGACACGGTCTGCGCCCCACCCACCCCACCCCCTGGCACTCCCGCTGCCGCTGGCCTGCAGGGCATCCAGCAGATGTTGCGCGACGCGCTGCAGGCCCTCTGGCCCGCGTCCCAGCCGACAAAGGGCGCCCTGAAGGCGGAGTGAGGTTTGGATGCTGAGAAGGCTTGCAGAGAAAGCCCGGGCTGTGCTCAAAATACATGCCAGCTTCCTCGTAGCGACGCGGTTAGCGCCGCTACCCAAGAGAGCCTAGCGAGTTCCGCACCTGAGGAGCCTGCACCTCCTGCGGGTCCACTCTGCATTGTTTTCGTTCCTATATCGAAATAATGTTCCATTCCGCCCTCCTGCATCGGCGGTTATGTTAATACCAGTGTTTGATCATTTGAGGGGGGCTGACAGCATGGCGGGGCGGAGCGCCGGCGGCCTGCCGTGCATGTGCCCCTCCGCTACAGCCGGGGTGTTGAAACGCTGCCGTTTGGCATCCGGAGTTGCAATAGACCGCTGAACCGAAATGGGGAGGGCGGAGGCGGGCGGTTGGGCCCCGATATGTCGAAAAAACTATCTGGTGAGGGGAAGGTGCAGCGGCCCAGCTACCTCCGCGTCACGGCTCCCGTTCAATCAGCTCCCACGCAGCGTGAAGGAAAATTGAAATGCCACGGGGCCCCAAATAAGCCCTGTGTGAGAAGTGACTTTGGGGTCGGACACTTTCCACCGGGGCCGGGCTCCCTAAGTACCACACCGTCGTGGCTCCCCACTCGCCCAGACTGTCGATCGCAGCCCACAGGTCGAGTCCCCCAGCCCACACAACAGCAGGAAGCAGCGGCGCAACCTCTGCCGCGGCCTCCCCCACCACCGGCGAACCCCCGCTCGGCCTCACCAGCCCGCGCAGCACCGCCCCGCCCCATCACGCCCATCCAGCCCTGCCCGGCAGCAAGGTGCGTGGCCGCCGACCGAAGGCGGTGGAGGCACATCCCCCCGCAAGTGGCTGCCCTTGCAGCCCCCGCTCTCCACCAGGCTCCCAACGCTCCTCATGCCCTATCGCCGCGGCTGTCGCAGGGCGGGCATGGAGCAGGAGGAAGGCAGCCAGCAGCATGCCGCCGCCGCGGCGGAGGACGCGTCGGGGCGCTTTGGCATCCGCTTCGCCGGCGGCCAGTGGGTCACCAGCGGGCACAGCCAGCAGCTCGCCATGCCGCAGATGCAGCACGTGCCCGAGTTTGGCGTCACCATCCCCGCCAACCCTTTCCTGGAGCGGGCAGACACAATGGAGGCGTTCAGCAAGAGCGCGACGCTCGACCCGTCGCCCACCACCGGCCAGCTTGCCGCGCCGGCGGAGAAGGAGAAGGAGCGCCAGCACAGCGCTTGGCGCATGAGCGGCATCGCAAGTGAGCACGTGGGCGCAGCAGCTGCGCCTCAGCGCAGCACACATTGTGCTCCAGGCCGCGCCGCCGCCGGGGCGGGCTTGCGACCCCCGGCGCCGCGGGCTGGCGTGTCGGCCGCCTGCTGCGCCTGGCTGGCTGCTGCAAGCAGGCCACTCAACCCGCCCGCTGCCTGCCTGCTCCCCTGCAGTCGGGGACCTGTTTCAAATCACGGCGGACCCCAAGGTACAGAAGCGGGTGATGAAGGCGGACTCGAACAACGACGGCCGCATCAGCCGCAAGGACATCCTCAAGGTCATGCAGAGCGAGGCCTCAGGTGCGGGCAGGCAGGGCCGCGCAGCAGGACAGCGCTAGCGTGGCGTGCTGCCGCAGAACGACGCAGGCCAGGACTGCGCAGAGTGGGGCTGCCAGCCCTCCTGACTCACACCGTCCGCCTGCCCTGCAGCCAAGCACAAGCTGAAGTGGGGCCTGATCATCGGCGGCACGCTGCTGGTGTTCTGCCTGCTGATGCTGGCAGCCAACGCCGCTCTTACATACGTGGTTGTCAGCATGAGCAAGGATACCAGCGTGCAGACCAGCGGCGTGATGACCGACAAGAGCGGCACCACCGTCGTGGGTGAGCTCCAGCGGCAGCCCGTGCGCTGGCTGGCAGGCTGCAGCTGCTCTGCTGGACCTTCGTTCCCTACATTTCGCTCATCCCTGCTCCACCTCCTCTCACCTGCTGCAGGCACGGCACAGGCGGCGGAGACAGCAGATCTGCTGTATGCCTACCACACACCCGCCGATGCCGCCGCATCGCTGCTCAGCCTGAAGCAGTTGCTGGTAACGGCAGACAGCGGCACAATGTCAGCCTACCAAGTGCTGTCCGCCACTCTGGTTGCTGGCAAGCGGCTGGACTTTGTGGTGGCGGCACCCACGCAAGATGCCAGCGGCAATGGCCCTGTTGCCGAGATGATCCGAATCGTGATCAGCGAGGAAGGGGTGCATGAGGTTCGCAGCGGCAGCATCGAGCAGGCCAGCGGCGGCGGGCGGCGGCTGCTGGTGACCCCCAGCAATAGCAAGGCCAGCGTGACGGGCCTGGTGACCAACACGGCAACCAGCACCTGCTCAGGTGAGCTGCGTGCCTTGGGTGCCTGCCTGCTCTGCTGCTGGCAGGCCTCCTCACAATCTCACTGCCTGCCTGCCCCGCTGGCAGCACCGTTAACTGCCTGCTCTGCCGCCTCTCTTCTGCTTGCAGCCACCTCCGGCGGCACCTGCTCCAAGGCAGCCACACAGATGAGCTGCCCTCCAGTCCCCGTCTGCGGCATGGGTGAGTGTGGCTGCTCAGCATAACCCCTGCACTGCCGCTGCTGCTGCTGCTCCCAGCCGTGCCTGAGGCGGACCTGCCCCGCTTCTGACCATGAGGCATGCCTTCCCTTCCCCTTGTCCGCTACAGATGGCAAGTACTACGCTACGCGGTGCTTGGCCGCGAAGGCGGGCACCACCGTCAAGTGCATGAGCTGCGGCACCAACTGCGCGGGTGCGCCCCTGCCTCGACCCTGCCCCCTGCGCCCTGTTGCTTCACCTGCGCTGCTGCCCGGCTGCCCATCCTGCTGCAAGTCCTCACGCCTGGCGCATCCCCGCCCGCTCAACTCCCCCGCCCTCTCCCTGGGTGCAGCTCCCAACCCGCGGCCAGCTGGCATGCCAGACAACCTGTCCTCCTATGATGGACCCAACTATGTGCGGACGAGCCCGCCGCCCCCGGCCGGCGGCTCGGCGGCTGCCACCGCCGCGGGCGGCCTCGCCCGTCCCGGCGGCTTGCCCGCCAACCTCGGCTCGCATGGGCAGGATTATGTCAGGACGCGGCCGCCGCCCCCTTCGCCCACCGCCAAGAACACCAAGCCCGCCTCAGTCAAGAAGCCCAAGTGATTCATCACCATCACCTCAACACCCCCTTCTGGGTGTGCGTGTGTGAAGTTTTTTTATCTTCTGTGTGACACGTGCTGCTCGCACCTGGCCACAGCTGCCGTGCGACCCTTGCGCACGCACCCGGGCAGCAGCGTCTGTTTCCTCTGCCTCTTTTTGCAGCCGGATCACACACCGGCCATGCCTTACCCTCACTGCCACAGGATCCTGTTCTGCTCTGTGGACACACCATCCCATTCTTGCAACCATCATCTCTCTTCTCTGCAGTCCACAGTCTTTCCCCAAACTGTTCGTCCCAATCTTCCTTGATCTAATGAATGTATCCTTTTTATCAACGCTCGGTGACCTGTCAGTTGGCCTGTCCTGCCTGTTGTTCTACTGCTTCATCCCTCCTTGCTCGAACAACAAAGTCTGTGCTGCAAGCTTGTTCTTGCTGAAACCAGACTGTAAGCCCACACAAGCAAGCAAGCAAGCTGGTCTGTTTGGTGGCGCTCGCCGCTTGATTACTCACCGCCGGGGCGCCCATGCACGCTTGCACCTCCTCATCGGCACCGTGTTCAAGTGCCATGCATTGCACCAGGGGAGTAACCTCGTGCATATGAATGCCTCACTGCATTCATTTTTGTTGTTCTTGTTTCTTTAACTTTGACACATGTCACTTGACTTGATGGACAGCTCATGCCATGCAGAGGAGTTAGGGCATGCCGCAGCGCCAACAGCCAGAACTGGCACAGGACTGATCCCGGTGATGTGACGCACTGGCACACACAATGCAGGAAGGGGGATGGCAGGCTTGCCTGCTGCTAGCCATGTATGTCTGCCACGTGTAGCTAACGCAGCCGCACCAGCAGGCTGGTCCTGAGCGGTTCGCGGCGGCGGTTGCCACCCGCCCGGCTTACCGTACGTGTTGCCAGGTAAGATGGCTCCCACATCCAGGCCCACTGGAGCACCCCAGCCAGCGAGACCCAAAGGTGGGGCAGTGCACAAAGGGAGGGGAGGCTGCAGCAGGGGGCTTAAGGCCTGGAGTCGCCGATGGCGCATTTGCAGCATTTTTTACATCGCATGCATTGTTCAGACAAGAATGCAGCTCCACACAAGCACCGCTAGGAGCGCGGAGACCCAAGTTCCCAGCGGGCACCAGGCTTTCCTGGCCATCCGGAGGGCCAAACTAGGGCACTTGTCCCCCTGCACTCCTCCATACTCGTCCCAGCGTCGGCGCTTGGAGGAGCGCACCCACAACCTCAACAAAGAGGGCCCCTGAGGACATCTGGAGCTCCAGTGCCAGTGCAGCTCCCGCCTCCCTGCCCCCAGGAGGGGCTGAGGCAGCTCACCCCCCAGCACATGCAGGTGGGTCACATGAGGCTGCCAGGAGCCGCTGTCGCCTACCTGCAAAACCGCACCGGCGAGAGTGTCCTCCCCGCAGCCCTCCACCAGCCACCGCCCCACCATCACGCCTCCTGCCCCCTTTCTCGCCGCCGCAGGCTGCCATGGCCGGCCAGGGGGACAGCCCCACCAGCCCCATCGACGTGCTGGTGGCGGTGACCGCCAGCCGCCGGCTGAGCATGGGCGGCCGTCCCTCGGGCACCCTGTCTGCCACTCGGCTGGGCAGCGTGTCGGAGGAGTATCCCGTGCACGGGGGCAAGGAACCCAGCTGCGGCAGCGGCTCTCTAGAGAGGCCCAACACGGCGGACGCCTCCAGCAAGAGTGGCTCCCTGCTGGGCTCGCCACCAGCCAAAGGCATCGGCGGCGAGCGCCTGCTCAGCGGCGTGCCACGTGCGTGCGCGCACCGTCGCTGCCTTGCGCTGCAACACCTGCGCTTCCCTGCCCTGGCAGTGCTTCCTGGCAATGCTTCCTGCAGCCACCTGCATGCAAACAGGCAGCAACAGCGCCGCATGCGGCAGGAGGCGGCAGCCTGACCCCCCCAGTCGAGCCCCCTCCCTCTTCCCCGACCCACCGACCCCTCACTCACCCATCTCCCGATCTCACCCCATGCCATGCGTGCAGTGCAAGACCTCTTCATCCTCACAAACGACCCCCTGCTGCAAAAGCGGGTGATGAAGGCGGACACAAACAGGGATGGGCGCATCGGCCGCCGCGAAATCCTGAATGCCATCCAGAGCGAGGCCACAGGTGCGGCGCTGGGCAGCAGGCTGGCGGGCAGGTGGAGCACCTCAGCCCTCAAAGCCGCGAGCTGGCGGGGCAGCCGCTGCTGCCATCAACGTGCCACTGCCTTGTGCTGAGCCTGTGCTCTTCCCGGCCATGGCCCCTCTCTGGGCCGTCTCATGTGCAGCCAAGAAGAAGCTGAAGTGGGGCCTGATCATCGGCGGTGCGCTGCTGGTGTTCTGCCTGCTGATGCTGGCGGCCAACGCCGCTCTCACATACGTGGTTGTCAGCATGAGCAAGGACACGAGCGTGCAGACCAGCGGCGTGATGACCGACAAGAGCGGCTCCACCGTCGTGGGTGAGCGCCAGCGGCAGCCTGGGCGATGGCTGGCAGGCTGCCTGGATCTGAGCCGTCACACACTCCCGCTTCCCTTCTGAGGCTGAGGCTCACTAGCACACCGCAGCGGCCAGGCGTGGGTCGACTCAATGTTTGGCATGCCCGCTCGGCTGGCTCCTCCTCCTGCAGGCACGGCGGTGGCAGCGGAAATAACCGACCTCTTATACGCCTACCACACGCCCGCCGACGCCGCGGCCTCGCTGCTGGGCCTCAAGGAGCTGCTGATCACCACCGGCAACGACACGGTGGCCGCCTACCAAGTGCTGTCGGCCAGCCTCGTGACCGGGCAGCGCCTGGACTTTGTGGTGGCGGCGCCGACGCACGATGCCGGCGCGGCGGGCGGCACGGCGGCCGGCCGGCCCGCCGCCGAGCTGATGCGAATCGTGATCAGCGAGGCGGGTGTGTTTGAGGTCCGCGGCGGCGGCGACGGCGGCGACGGCCAGGGCGCGGGCTCCGGCCGCCGCCTGCTGCAGCAGCTGTCCAACGGCCAGCTGGCCAACCCCAAAGTGCAAGGGCAGCTGTCCAGCACCGCGACCAGCACCTGCGGTGAGCCGCAGCGCCAGGCCCCGCCCGCCTGCCCGCCACCGCTCACCGCTGCGCAGCTACTCAGCCAGTTTGCCCAGGCAGCGCATGCCCTGCGCTGCCTGTTGATCGAGGCGACTGTGCAGCCTGCCCGTCAGCCCTGACGCCCGCCGCCCTCCCTGTCCTGCCTGCAGGCACCTCTGGCGGCACCTGCTCCCCGGGCACCGCATCGGTCGGCTGCCCACGCGTCCCCACCTGCGGCACCAGTGAGCGGCTTGCTGGCATGCTGCTGTGCCGGCTAGCTGCTCTGCTCCTACAGCTGCATGCACGGCCCCCCGACGAGCGAAATCGGTAGCCAGCCGCTCATGCACCGCATGGGCCGCCTCCAACCCTGTGTGCTGTACTGCAGACCGAGTGAGGTACGGTTCTCCCTGCGAGGCCCGCCTGGCGGGCACCTCTGTGCTGTGCTCCAACTGCGGCAACCCCTGCCCAGGTGCGCCCTGCCTTGTGCACTCCCCCCCCGCCCCCTGCCGTGCCGCCGCCCGGGCCTGGCACCTGCACAGAGCCCTGCTGCCCTGCCCAGCCCCGACCGCCGGAGCGCGCGCAGCAGGCCTCAGCTTGAGCGCTGCCTCCTGACAACCGTGGAGCATGGGTTGGTGCTGTTGTGGCCCTGCCTGCTGCAGATCCGGCGACCTACCGGCCTTCAGGACTGCCGCCCAACCTGTCTTGGGATGGGCCCGGCTTTGTGCGGACCAGCCCGCCGCCGCCCCGCGGCGGCACAGCCTCCGCAGCCGGGCAGCCTGACGGCACCCCGGGGGGGAGCGCCGGCCAGAATGGCCAGGCTGGCAGCAACGGCAATGGCGGGGTCGGCAGCGGCGGCAGCCCCGGCACCGGCACGCGCCCGTCTGGCTGGCCGTCCAATCTGGCGATCGACGGCGTGGGCTTTGTGAGGAGCCCGCCGCCGCCCGCAGGCTCCAGCGACAACAATGGGGCGGGGGCTGCTGCTGCTGGAGGCGCGTCAAAAAGCCCGCCGAGGCCCAGCCCCAAGCCGCCGTCTCCGCGTCCGCCCCAGCCCAAGCCCGCTCCAGCACCAAAGAAATCGCCTCCTCCCAGCGCGAAGAAGTCGCCACCGCCTCCCAAAAAGAGCTGAGGTCCGATGTAGGTACCCGCCGCTCATGCAGCTCTGTTGCTTCCTGTGCCCAGCTGTTGCTGGGGTCCATTAAATTTTGCATTCTACCTTTCTCTTTCTCTTTGATTCTCTTCCTCCCAGTTTGCCCTGCCCCAATTCCCTTATGCATACTGCGCCCTCACAGCGCTGGTGCCCCCTCACGGGGTGCCCTACTCTGGTACTGCCGTACTGCCGTCCCCGCTCCGCTGCCGCTTGTTTTGCGTGCTCTGGCGGGCATCCCCCGTGCCATCAATATCCCATGTTTCATCAACAGCACCAAACACAAACCCACAGCAGCGGCATCATTCCTCCACATGCCGCACACACCCTGCCACTTGATTGCGCATGTCTTTACTTCTGCCCCCAGCACACAAGCTGGACTCCCCTGCTCAATCCATCGATTGATCCATCTCTCTCGGTGTTTCTCTCTTTCTTTCTCCACCAAATTGTTGAACGAAGCAGACTTGTAAACGGTAATTAAACACGCATACACACACATCGGTGACAGCTGACATTAGGCCTGCCAGCACTGCACTGCACCGCCAGGGCCAGGGCTGCAGCGAGGCTCAGGCACAGGGTGCACGCTGCTGCACGTCCAGGCTGGCTGACACCGCGCCTGGCCGATCTGCACGCCATCTCACTCCTCAGGAGAAGGCTTCTCGTGCTTGGGCGGCCCTTGGGTGCATTCCTGGTGCCCGCCACGCCCCGGGCGCACTTCCTCCCGCCTGCCCACACCCTCGCCTGCACAGCACACCCGCAACCGGCCCGAGCTGGCCTGATGGCATTCACATGCCGCAGGGGACCTGCACCGAGCAGCATTGCGCCCCACTGGCGAGGAGCATGCACGGCAGCGCACGCCAGTGGCCTGCTGGCCGGTACGCCTATGCCGCCGGTCTGCCTACCGTGGTAGGGGTGGGGCGTGGCATGCGACACATCCAGCAGCACTCCGCCTGTCCCCTCAAACTCCTTCTGCGCTTGGCCAGGCAGGCGAGTGCAGGGTGGGCAAGGTAGGCAGGCAGGGCGGGCAGACGAAAATACTGTTCCTCTCTGGCTGTCCCGCGGAGCTGCGCCGTCTATGTGTCGGCGCAAAGTGCAGGCGCGCCCATGCGGCACAGCAGCGAGCCCTAGCGCTCGGCACCGCCCGCTCCGCTCCCAAGCAGCCAGCCCAGCCCGGCCCAGCTGCCCACCTGTTCCTGCACCAGAGCGGCCGGGGCCCCCTCCCCCGGGTGGTGGGTCTCGCCGGCACCGGGAGAGTCGATCTTCAAAGTCTCGCTCTCAGCCCCGCCCTCACCCCGCTCCGCCTGGGGCTTTGCCTTCAACCCGCAACGGCCAAAGGCGAAGCCGTCGAACTTTGCGGCGGTGGGGCTGGCGGGAGGCGGCGCTTGCAGCGCTAAAAGGCGCCGCCACCGGCTTGCCGCCGGGCTGGGCATGCTCGCTGCCGCCGCCGCCCCCGCCCCTGGCGCCTCCCTCCTCGGGTTTCAGTTGGCCCGGTGCTTCTTATTTTTCCACCACCCCGGAGCCCACCTGGAAGCCGGGCAACCAAGAGAAGGGGGAGGGGGGGGAAAAGCGGAAGAGGGAGCAGGGGCGATGTCACCAGTCGGCTTGCAGCCACGCCCGTCGGGCAGCCAGCCAGTCAGCGTGGAGGCACGGCTGTGCTCGGAGGCACAGCTCAGCGTAGCAGGCAGGAAGGAACCCTCACCCTCCAGGAGACCCCAGGTGCCCACTCACTTGCCGATGGAGCCTGGGTCGGAGTGGAGCGGGTCGGCGTCCGCATTCAGCATCTTGTGAGGGTCGGTGCGCCCCCGGCGCCCGCCCCGCGCCTTGCTGGCGCCGCCGGCCCCGGCGCCGTGCTTGCCGCCCGCCTGCTCCTCCACCACCCCCTCGGCGACCCTGCAGGGCAGCAGGGATGGGGCTACATTTCGCAGGCGCATCACTGGCAGCCTGAGGTTCCTCTCTTGCGTGGCGGCGGCTGCTCCCCGTCAAGAGGCGCAGGATGGCCGTGCGGCGCGGCGCGCATGACACTGGGGTCAGAGCGCCTGCCACCTGCCGCCACCCGCCTGCCGCCTCCCAATGCACCTGCCGATGTCGCCTGGGTCAGAGTGCATGGGGTCTGCATCCACGTTCAGCATCGTGTGCATGTCATGCTCCTGCTCGGGATGATGGGCGCCACAGGCATGACATGATGCAGGGAGTGATTGAGGCAGTCAGACCAGACACAACCTGGGGAGAGCAGGCGGACTGGAGAACGGCAGGGCCAAAAGCGGCGCCACTCACCGGCTCTTTGCGCCGCGCCAGCGCCGCCACGCGGCGGCGCCCGGGGGGGCTGTAGAGCGTGGATGGCTGTACACAACAGGGGAGCACCTTGGACTGCTTGCTCCCAGGTTTTCAGGGGCCTCCTCAACTTCCCAGCCACAGGAACTCCCACCCGCCCCTCCAGCCCCAGAATGGTGACCAGGAGCGCTGTCCAAGGCGCCAGCACAGGGAGAAGCAGCAGACCTTTGCTACTGGGCGGCTGCCGCTGCCGGCCGCCGTGGGCTTGCCAGCACGGCTGCTCAGCACCCCGCACTGCATCTCGACACTGTGTCCTCTTGGGTTTCGAGGTACTGGGGTTGATGAAAAGTGGTGTCACAAGAGGCGCCGCCACGTCGTCGCTGAGCTGGAAAAGTGTAGCGCGGGCTACCATGCTCTCACACGCTTTGCTGGTGTTACACCAAGCCTGCCGAACGATCATGCGAAACAGAGCAGGAAACTGAGGGATCGAACGGGGGCTCAGAGGCGCGAGCAGGCAATTGGATCAAATCAAATCTACAACCAAGGAAGGAGCACGCAGGCAGCCAGAGCGGCGGCGCCCGAAGCGGCAGGCCATGCAACGGGGCGGAGTATGGGACAGGGGAGCGGGAGGGAAAGCCAAGCGCGGCACAGAGGAAGAGGTTGGGTCAGGGCGCTAGGGCCTCAGGCGACGGCCTGTAGCGCCGGGCCGCCCATCATCACCGCCGCTTCTCAAACTTCTCGCAGACCCGCTCGCCGCCCGCAAAGGCTTTGAAGTACCGGTCCCCGCAGTACCCCGGGATGCCGCCCTGTGTTTGTGCAGAGCAGGAGCAGGCCGAGGGACAGGGCAATCAGGTTACGTGCCTGCACCCCACCCACAACCATTCCCTGCTGTCGGTCAGGTGCCGCACACGCAGCGCTGAGCACGGCAGCAGCACCGCCACGCGCTGCGCCGGCAAACCAGCCCCCGCTCCATCGAGCGCCTCCCACCTGCGCCGCCGCCTCTAGCTCAGCTGCCTCGTCATCGGCCGCCAGGTCAGCCATGTCCTTCACACGGGAGCTGTACAGGATGCCCGTGGGGGTGACCTGCGCCAGCTTGCGCGCCGACCCGCGCCCTGCACACAACACACACAGCACGCCGGCGGCGGCATGTCGGCTGATTTTCGCCTGCGGTTTTCGCCCCACAGCGGGGCCTGCTCGGGCAGCAAGCGCAGCGCACCCGCATCGCTAAAAAAGAGCGCAGCTGAGCCAGCCCATCCCTGGCCAGCCAGCCCCAAGCGAGCAGCAGCAGCAGCAGCAGCAGCAGCAGCAGCGGGAGCGGAAGCGGCGGCGGCGGCAGCACCGGCACGCACCGTACGCGCCGTCGGCATCCAGCTGCGAGTTGATGAGCACGGTGAGCGTGACGGCTGTGGCCATCAGCGCGACGCCCACGCCCTGCAGCGTCGTCCTGCAAGGGCGGCGCAGCAGCAGGGGAGGCCCAAAGGGCAGCCGGGAGAGGCCGTGAGGCTTACGCCGACGCAGCTCGAGCAGCGCAGCTCGAGCGGGGCCCTGCCCGAGCATCGCCACACAGCAGGCCGCGGCGCGTGCCCAGGCCCATGGCCCTGCCAGGCAGCAGCGCTGCAGTCCCAAGGGGGACTGCACCGAGCGGCAGCCCCACCTGAGGCGGGCAAGCACAGGCTTGACCTCATAGGTGCCCAGCAGGCGGTCCCGGGTGAGCACCTCTGGCGGCTTCACAAACACCTGGCCGTCGTACCTGCACCACAGTGTTGGTGGTGGTGCAGGCGCGGCACGGATGGGCAAGCAGGCATGCAGAGCAGCGTCAAAGGGGTGTGGAGGCGGTGAAGGGCGTGTTGCAGGGCATGCGCGCAGCACGCGAGGTGCAGTGTGCACACACCGCAGCAAGCGGAGCGCCCGCCGCGGGGGCACGGCCAACCGCAAGCCGCACAGCGCCTGCGTGTGCTGCCCCGGGGCGGCCGGCAGGCAGCACAGCGCAGCACAGCACAGCGCAGCACAGCACAGCGCAGCACAGCACGCACCAGCCCGTCTCCTCGTACTCCAGGCTGGCGGTCAGCAGGCGGTCGCCCACATACTTCCAACCCAGGAAGATGCGCAGCGCCGCCACCGCCACCACCAGCAGCGAGCCTGTGGAGCCTGACAGGAAGAACTCCAGGGGCTGTGGGGAGGCAAGGTGGGGTGGAGGTGGGCGGCAGAGGGGGAGGTCACAGGGTTGCAGGGGCTGGTTGGGGGTGGCAGAGATGACAGGTGCACACCAGGGTGTGACTCGGGTTCGGGGGGGCGGGCCTGCGAGGGCCCTGGGCAGCCCCATGCGGCGCAGCGGCCGGCGCATGCCCAGGGGCCAGCCGGCGCCAGGCGGCTTGCCTGATCCAGCGGGTCGAATGTCTGCGCCGCGATGGGACCTCCCAGCAGCAGGAAGACGCCGCCGTAGAGGATGAGCAGGCGCTGGGCATACTGGGGCAGGTCCAGTGTTGCCTGCAACGACGGGAGGAGTAGGGAGGCGGGGCAGCCCGGTGAGCGGCCCGCACTTGTGCGTCAGCGGGCGGTCCGGCGAGCTGCAACGCCAGTGCCATGTGCCGGCACACAGGAGAAGCACGCTGCACTGCTTGGGGCGGGCAGCAGGCGGTGACGACAGCGGGAGCGGGTGCAGTCTAGGTGGGGGCGGGAAGATGCGGGGCCACGCAGCGGGGGCGCCCCGTGTGGCCGCAGCAAGCGAGGCTGCTGCCCGCGGGAGGCACTGCGCACCCATGCCAGCAGTGGCGTGTCCTTGAGCTGCTGCAGCTCGTTGACTGGCCGCTGCTCGCGAGGCACCGCCGCCTCCATCCGGTTGAGCCCCGCCTGCTGCTCCCGCCGCGCCGCCTGCGCCACCAGCTGCGCCAGCCCTCGTCCCTGGCTGTCGCGCTGCAGCTGGGGTGGGCCCAAAGGCGCCCTGCTGCTGCCGCTGCTGCTGGCACCGAAGAGGTGCGGCTGGCCACCCGGGCGCAGCGGCAGGGCCCTCGGCGCGATGCAGGATGCCTGCATCCGGCCTGGCGCAGCTCTAGGGATCGCTGAGCCAGGCGCCGCGCGCCCCAGTCACACTCAGGCACAGGGTAGTGGGCGCAAAAGTCTACTCCTGCTGGTCAGGCTGCAGCTCGGCTGACGGCTGTGCAATGGTGTTGGTGTGCCTCGCGAAGGCCACCGAGGATCAGGCGCCCACTGGTGCACATGCCCGGCGCAGGCCCGCCAGCGAGGCGGGAGGGCGCCATGGCCGGGGGGACTTGCTCTGGTGTTGGGGGCTGCCTCTGGTGCAGTTGTTTATGGGATTGCGTCGAATACCAACGGTGAATCACAAGGACTCTTAGATCACTCTCCTACAACTCTCCGATGCAAAGCCGCGGCTAGCCTAGGCACACACCGCGCACGCCGCCGCCCTCCTGCCAACTTCTGCACCGCTCGTAAAAAGAGTTTGGTGCTCAGCTCCTGGCAGAGATCTCACAGCTGATTTTGTGCGTGATGCATGTCCCGCCATGATAGCGAGCCCGGCAGGCAGACCGTGTGATGCGGCGCCAACAGCAGGCAAGGCGCGAGCTCCCCCCTCCGGCTCTGCTGCTGCATCTTTGTGTTTTGATCGCAACCCACGCCCTCCTGAAGTTTGTCCGGGCCCAGCACAGACTGTCTGCTGCTGCAATGAGCTCAGTTGCATTTCGGGCGGCGGCCACCACCAGTCGCTGCGCTCGTTTCGCGGGGCACAGACTGAGAGCCTCCAGGGCCGCTGTGAGACAGGTGGCGAGCGTGCGGGCTGCGGGAGGTGAGTGCACCTGAACTGCACTGCTCCTCCACTGGTCCACTGGTCCCGCAAGGCAACAATTTGTAACGCTAGAGAGCGCCTGAAACAGCCCTCGTGCCCTGCAGCAGAACCTTCTATCCAGGCTTCGGCGCCTGCCGCCAGCGCTGCCGCTGCCGCTGCCACCGTCGCCCCGCGCACACCCGCCAGCAGCAGCAGCAGTGCCACGCCCAGCAGCAGCCAGCAGCCATGGCGCATCAAGATGCTGTATGACGGTGCGCCTCACGGATGCCGCCGCCGGACCTGGGCGCAGCGCTCAAAGCCCAATGCGCCCGTCTCGTGCCGCCGCCACCGTTGCCTTTTCGTGCCCACCCTTCACCGCCGCAGGCGACTGCCCGCTGTGCATGCGAGAAGTGGAGATGCTGCAGCGGCGGGATGCGGGCAAGGGGCGCATCGCGTTTGTGGATGTGGCGGCGCCTGGCTACGACCCAGCCCAGCACGGCGGCATCAGCTTTGAGGCAGCCATGGAGCGCATCCACGCCATCGAGGCAGACGGCACCATCCTGACGGGTGCGGCCCGCCGCAGGGGTTTGTTTCACAGGCGGAGGCATCGCGGCGGGCAGGGAGGAGGTCATGGGGCATGGGTGGCGGCCAATTGTGTCTCGCATGGTTGTCCGTATGCTCAACTTGCTGGCCGTGTGTGATCCTGCGCCTGGTGCTGCCGCTGCTGGGGCCCGCAGATGTGGAGGTTTTCAGGCGGCTCTACGAGGAAGTGGGCCTGGGCTGGGTGTATGCCACCACCAAGAACCCCACCGTCCTCGGTTTCGCCAACAAGTGAGGCTGTGGTGGAGGGCGGGGATGGCGGAGGGGTTGGCTGGCAGTGTCTGTCCATCCTGCTGACCAGCGGGTGGAGACGAGCTCCACGGCAGTTCCCTGATGGCTGTGCCGGCGGCCATGCCCCCTCAATCCCTCCTCCCACAGGCTCTACTCCGTGTGGGCTCGGTATCGGCTACCGCTGACGGGCCGGCCAGACCTGGCGCAAGTGTTGGAGCAGAAGAAGCAGTGCAGGCCCTCGGACGGCAGTGCCTGAGCACTAGGCTTGCAGCTCCTTGCACCCAGCTTGCTTTGATTTGATTTCATTCGTGCTTGAGCCGCCTGTGGAAGGCTTCTGAACCCCTCTGTGGATCGGCACATGGAATGTAGCACTGCAGGGGCGCGCCGGAGGCCTCACCGCCCGCCACCGCCTGGGGCGCAGCGCTGGCGGGAAGGGTCCTCATGCCGCAGCAGCCCTCCCGGCCTGGCGCATTTTCCAGCGATCCGTGTGCACGCTGCCTGGCCGCCCCCAAGATGTCTCAAGTTCCGAGACGCAGCTTTGATGGCGGGAGTCCTCGCCCGAAGGGGGCCTTCGGCCAGGCGGGACAGATCTTCACACCTTCGACTACCGCCATATTTTACAACTGGTGCGTTGTGTTGGGCCCCGGAGACAGGCATCGCCAAACTCCGAGACAGTTGTGCAGTAAACCTCGGCCCGCTGCCTTCTGTCGCTGCGTGACGGTCTGGCGTCGACAGTGGGGCACATCAGGCTGCCGGCGGGCCCGCAGCGGCAGGGGGAGGGGCGTGAGAGGGTGCCGCCAGCGACGGGTGACTGCAGGGCGGCAGACCAAGCTCGCTGGCAGCAGAGGGCCTGCCTGCCTTGGGGCTGCCTCTGCTGCTGCTTTGGTGCTACTCTCGTTGCTGGTGCATGTTCCGGCTGCATTGTGGCATGCGCCTTGCCGCTGCGAGCCCACCTTGCCGCCTTCCCATCTACCGCTTCCCCGCCTGCTCCCCGGCGCCGCCACAGGAAGCAGCTGCCCGTGCAGCGCATGCTTGATTTCGACTTCCTATGCGGTAAGCTTGCCAGCGGGCTAAACGCAGAGGCATCCAGGCAGCCGGGAAGCTGGCCTCGCATGGCCACAACAAAGCTGTCGTGGTGGCAGCGGCAACTGCAATCGCACAGCCCCCACTCGTGCGCTGCCCCCCGCCCGTGCAGGCCGCAAGACGCCCTCGGTGGCGGTGATCGTGCAGCCGGGGGCCGCCGGCGGCTTCCAGAAGCTGTTTTTCGGCCAGGAGGAGATTGCCATTCCGATGGTGCGCTTGCCGGTGGTGCGCTTGCCGGCCGCTGCTCCGCCCTGGCGGACGCACCTCCACCCTGCCAGGCAGCCGCTCTTCCCGTCTTGGCCCCTTGCTTGCTTGTTGGCCTGCACAGATCCTGCAGCCGCGTGCAGCTGCAGCTGCAGCCTGCGCCGTGCACGGCAGGCCATTCCGCTCCCCATCCGCCAGCAAACCAGCATGCGTCCCGCTTTGGGGTGCTGCTGTTGCCCGATGCAGGTTGGCAGCATCGCAGAGGCCGCGGAAGCCTTCCCCAAGGCAGATGTCCTGGTCAACTTCAGCTCGTACCGCAGGTTTGCACGCAGCGTACCGCAACGTACCGCCCTGCCTTGCCGCCGCGGCAGCCCTGGGCGCGGCGGCGCGGCACGCTTCCGCACCCCTCCTCCCCCACCTCCCTCACCAGCCCACTCTCCTCCCTCCTTTGTTCCTCCTCGGCGCCCTTATTCTCCCCCACACACACCACCAAACTCACGCCGCCGCCCACCCGACCGCCTCCCACCTCTCCCCTGCCCCTCCTCCCATGCTCCCTCCGTCCCTCTCCCCCTGCCCTCCCTTTCTTTCTTCCCATGCAGCGCCTTTGAGTCGTCCATGGAGGCGCTGCGCCAGGCCACCATCCGCGTGGTGGCCATCATCGCGGAGGGGGTGCCCGAGCGGGACGCCAAGGCCATGATCGCCTATGCACGCGACAACAACAAGATCATCATCGGCCCCGCCACAGTGGGCGGCGTGCAGGTGGGCGGTGTGGGTGTGTGGGTGTGGGTGGCCAGGGGGGGTGCAACGGCTGGGCCTGTGCGGTGTGTGGGTGTGTCGGGCGGCCGTGTGTGTGTGTGTTGGTGTGGGTGGCGAGGGGGGTGCAGCGGCTGGGCCTGTGCGGTGTGTGGGTGTGTCGGGCGGCCAAGTGGGTGAGTGGGTTTGGGTAGCAGAAGGGCGGAGCGTGCGCCGCCGGCAGCATTGGCAGCTGGGTGGGAGCGGCGGGGGCGGCTCCGTCGGCGAGGGCGGTTGACGAGCGGGGGCACCTGCCTGCCCTCCGGTCTGCCCGGCCTGGCTCACATGCACCTCCCCACCCTCCCCTCCTTGAAAACCGCTCCCTCTAGCTCCCTCACAAGCCCCCTCCCCTTCACCCCGGCCCCTCCTCTCTTTCCTCCGCAACAGGCCGGCGCCTTCAAGATCGGCGACGCGGCGGGGACGCTCGACAACATCCTGGCCTGCAAGCTGTACCGCCCCGGCTCCGTGGGCTTTGTGTCCAAGTCGGGGGGCATGTCGAACGAGATGTACAACGTTATCGCCCGCGCAGCAGACGGCGTCTACGAGGGTGCGGGGGCGGCGGGGGTGGCGGCGGGGCTGGGGCAGGCGTGGGGCTGGGCCCGCGGGGCCGCGCGCGGGGTAGTGGGGTAGGATGAGGCGAGGGCAGGCATGGCTGTCCGGCCGAGGACTGCGGGCGCAGGGCTGAGGCGGGTCCGACATTGTCGTCCCTGGGTGCCTCCTCCCCTCCCCACCCCCCCCACCACACACGCGCGCCTGCCTGCCCGCCCGCCTGCCCTCCCGCCCGCAGGCATCGCCATCGGCGGCGACGCCTTCCCCGGCTCCACGCTGTCCGACCACTGCCTGCGCTACCAGAACATCCCGCAAATCAAGATGATTGTGGTGCTGGGGGAGATTGGAGGTGCGGGGGGGAGGGAGGGAGGGTCGCGGCAGGCGGAGGCTGGCGGTTGTGGGGGGGTAGTTGGCTGCAGCAGGGTTACGCGTGCCAGCCAAGGAGCGCCGGAGGCGGCTGGGGGAGGCTGGCGGCGGCGGCGAGCGGCCCGGTCCCTGGCTCTTGCCGCCGCCGACGTCCCGCCTGCTCCTGAAGGCAACGCTTGCCCCTGCGTGCGACGCTCGTCCCTTGCCCCGCCCCGGCGTGTGGCGTGCTGTGCTTCAGGCCAGGATGAGTACAGTCTGGTGGAGGCGCTCAAGGCGGGACGCATCACCAAGCCTGTGGTGGCCTGGGCCAGGCAAGCGGCAGTTGTGTGTGTGTGTGTGTGTGTGTGTGTGTGTTTGCTTCAAGGCATAAACAAACAAGCGCCCTCGACGCTCTGACCACCAGCTGCATCTGCACTCGGCGGGAGCATGCGCCGTGCCTGGCCCCACCCGCCTGCCAGCCCAACGAGTGCCGCCCGTGCCGCTTTGGCTGCTGGGCTCTCCTGACTGCTCGCTCGCACACCTGCCTTTATTTTCAACATGTTGTTTGAGCCCTTCCCGCGCATCACCTCATCCTCCCTGCCCCTCCCTGCCCCCCCCCACCTGCAGCGGAACCTGCGCCAAGCTATTCAAGAGCGAGGTGCAGTTTGGGCACGCGGGCGCAAAGAGCGGCGGCGATGAAGAGTCGGCGCAGGCACGCCTGGGGGGAAGGGGAGGCCCCCGCTGGCCGCTTTGGGCGCTGCTGGCCGCTGGCCGCCGCTGCCCGGTGTCAAGGCGGGCGTCGCCAGTCGCCGTGTTGGTCATGAAGCGGCCTCGGCCAGCCAACCCCCCTGCCTGTTGTCCTCTTGCCTGCCTCGTGTATTGTTACTGTGAAGTCCTGCCCGCCACCCAGTTGTCTCGTGCATGTCTTCTGTGCGTCTCCTGCATGCCTCCTGCGCAGGCCAAGAATGCGGCGCTGTCGGCGGCGGGGGCCATCGTCCCTGGCAGCTTTGAGGAGCTTGAGGGCACGATCCGGTGGGGTGGGCGGGTAGGGTGGCCGCGGGGTAGATGGATGGGGTGCTGCTGCTGCTGCTGCTGCCGTCCCCGCGGGGCTGTCCGCCGAGCCAACCACCCTGCAGCCTCCCACGCCTGCCTATGCGCCCGGCAGCTTGGCCCCCTCTGCAAGCCTGCCTCTCGGGCGGCCCCCGCCTCCTCGCACACAGGCATGAACACCTGCCGCCCGCCCCCACCCCTGCAGCAAGGTGTATTTGGAACTGCGGGAGCAAGGCCTGATACAGCCTGTGGCGGAGGTGGCGCCGCCCACCGTTCCCATGGACCTCAGCCAGGCGAAGAAGGAGGGCAAGGTGAGGGCGCCTGGGCTGGGCAGGCGGCCGTCAGGCTGGCGCCACCTGCTTCCCCCGCCTCCCTCCTCGCCCCACACCTCCATGCCACGCGACGCCGCATGCCGCGCCATGCCGTCGCTGCCCCTGCCACGTGCACACATGCGCTATCGTTACCTCGGCCCCACCCAAACCCCCTGCTCCACCCTGCACACTGTTCCTGCCTGTTCCCACCAGCCGCCCTCCCTCCCGGCCGGCAGATCAGTACCACTCTAGCTCTAGACGTTACAACTGGGGCAGCCGGGCCCGCGGAGGCTCTTGCCCCACCTTCACCTCCACTTTTACCCTCCCTGTACCGCCCGTCCCGCCCACACTGCTTACAGGTGCGCGCCCCCACCCATATCGTCTCCTCCATCTGCGACGACCGAGGCGAGGAGCCGACGTATGCGGGGGTGACCATGAGCGAGCTGATGGAAGCAGATGCCAATGTGGGGGACGCCATCGGGTGGGTGGCATGGCCCTGTGTGGGGGTGGGGTGTGGGGAGGGTGGGCGCGCGTCGGTGTGGGGAGGGTGTGGGGAGGGTGGGTGCGCGACTGTGTGGGAGGGCGGCTGTGTGGGGAGCCTGATGCGCTGGGTGGATGCGTCTGTGGGCTGGTGCGGTGTGCGTCTGTGTGGGAGTAAGGTGGACCTGCGGCGCTTCACTGAAGGAGAGGGGTGGGTGGGCAGCTGCCCCGTGTGACCGGAGGCACGCCTCGCCCCCAGCTGCTGCCGGCCGCCCCCAACTCCCGCCCTCCCCATGGCCCCGGCCGCCCCGCAGCCTGCTGTGGTTCAAGCGCCGCCTGCCGCGCTACGCCACCAAGTTTATTGAGATGTGTGTGGTGCTGTGCGCCGACCACGGCCCCTGCGTCAGCGGTGAGGCGGTGGGGGATCGCGGCAGTGTGTGTGTCCTTCTATTGCTGGTAGTGTGTGTGTGTGTGTGTGCGCGCGCGTGTGTGCAGAGCAAGCCATAGGCCATAGGCCTGCTCTGCAGCCCCTAGGCTAGCAGCTTTGGGCATGTGGGTCTGCCTGCCTGTTGCGGCGCGGCGCCGTGTGCACACCGCCCCGCGCTCGTGCATGCCCCCCTGCCGGCTGCAGGCGCGCACAACACGATTGTGACGGCGCGGGCGGGCAAGGACCTCATCTCCTGCTTGGTCAGGTGATTGGCCGCTTCCCCTCCTCAGCGCCACTCCCTCGCTTCTGCCTGCCGATGCCGCACAGCCACCGGCACGCCCTCCGCCTGTTGGGGTGAGGGAGGGCCGTCCCCACCAAGTGCCCCTGCCGTGCCTGCCAAAACCTACAAGGTTTTCCTTGGGCCGCACCATGCGCCTTTGCAGCGGCCTGCTCACTATTGGCCCTCGCTTTGGCGGCGCCATCGACGACGCCGCGCGCTACTTCAAGCAGGCGTGCGACCAGGTGGGGGCGCCATTGCCATCACGGGGCACATGCTGCTGCGGGGGTGGGGTGGAGAGCAGGCAGCAGGGCCAAGGAACGCCGTGCAGCAGCGGCAAGGGGCTGCCGGGCCGTTGCATCGCCGCCCGTCTGCCCACCTGCGCTTCCTGAGTTGCTGCTGCGCTCCCTGTGCTGCTGCAGGGCCAGGAAGCGGATGAGTTTGTGGAGGGCATGAAGCGCAGGGGCATCCGGTGAGGGCTGGTAGGGCGGGCAAGCAAGGCAGGGGCGAAGGCTCCCTCGCGGCCCGTCGCGCTGCGCGGCTGCGCTTCTGACCCCTCCCCTGCCGCCGGCCCGGCCCCCGTGGTCCCCTGCTGCAGCGTGCCCGGCATCGGCCACCGCATCAAGAGCAAGGACAACCGGGACAAGCGGGTGGAGCTGCTGCAGCGGTGGGGCTGGGCGGCGGGGCGTGGGTGTTAGCCTTGGTGGGGTGTTAACCTTGGTGGCGCTGCTGCGGCTGGGATGCTGGGTGTGTGTGTGGATGGTTTTCTTTGTCTGTGTGCAGTCCTCATGGGCTTAGCCGACATACCCACCCACCCCATTCGCTCACAAAACAATGTTTCTCGCCCCGCAATGTGCCGTGCCCTGCAGGTATGCGCGCAAGCACTTCCCCTCCACCCGCTACCTCGACTACGCCATCACTGTGGAGGAGTACACGCTGCAGAAGGTGGGGCGTCGTGGTTATGGTGTGGTGTGCGAGGTGTGTTCGGATGGTGGGTGGGTGTGGGTGGGTGGGTGGAGGGCAGCAAGGCACATGGGGGTTGGGGCCTGCCCCGCTGCCGCCGTGCCAGGCACCCGCTGGACCCTGACCGCTCCCTGCTGCCTTGGCGGCGCCTGCTGGGCTCGAGCGCAGGCCGCCAACCTGGTGCTGAATGTGGATGGCTGCATTGGGGCGCTGTTCCTGGACCTACTCAACTCGGGTGGGCGGCTGGGTGGCTGTTTTCGGGGTGGATGGAACCTTCGAAGATGCCCTGCATTCTTTGCTGTGGCGTGCGTGTCTGGCCTTGATCAAGGTCATGACCGGTACACTGCGCGTGCCCCCAATCGACTGCCGTCTGCGCCCACCTCCCCCGCCGCAGCCTCCCTCCTTCTCACACACACGGCCCGTCGCTGCCCCGCGCCGCTGCCCGCCGCCCCCCTGCCTGCAGTGGGCATGTTCAGCCCGGCCGAGGTGCAGGAGGTGGTGGATATTGGGTACCTCAACGGGCTGTTTGTGCTGGCACGCAGCATCGGCTTCATCGGTGGGTGCGGGTCCAGGGGATGGTGTTTGGCGATGGGGTGTGCAGTGCGAGTCGTGGTGGTATGGGGCTTGAGGAGCAGGGGTGCCGGGCGGACGGTACAGGTTCTAGGGCAGGGGAGGGGCAGGAAGGGAGGGTGGTGGATGGTGAAGGCACCGCCATGCCAGCGCAGCTTATTGGCTCCGGCTTTGCGCACTCCAGCGTTCGCGTTGCTGACTGTGCAATGGCCCGTCCTCCCTGCCTCTGCCTGCCCTGCCCGCAGGCCACGCCCTGGACCAGAAGCGCCTGCAGCAGCCGCTGTTCCGCTACCCCTGGTCAGTGCCTGCCCGCGCCAGTGCAGTGCCTCGCGTCGCCAGGCCTGCCCCGGGCTGCGCCTCGGAGCGCTGTCCCTGCCGGCTGCCCTCACGCTTGTTTCGTGTTGGAATGGTGCCTGCCGCAGGGACGAGGTCCTGTACACCAAATAAGCTGGCTGGTCTCCTTGATGACGCCTGGCACAGATACGCTCCCGGGCGTGTGCTGGTGCAGCAGCCGATGCCCCCCAGCATCCCAGCAACCTGGCAAGTCGTCCCACCACATGCTTCCCAATAACGAGAGACCCCCAAATGATCACGCTCCCATTCAAGCTGGCCCCTGCCATTTAGTTTCTTCCAACTCATTCCCCTCCCTTTGATCTAGTCCCCGACAGCAGCGCCCCGTCACGAGCCGCATGAGCAGCCCCTAGGAATGCCAGCAGGCACCTATCTTTCGCTCCCCACTATGTATGTTAGAGCGTAGCGGCCCGCCGCCCCCGATTTTGCCCCACTAGCGCCCCAGTTTTCAGCTGCCCTTGAGAGCCCGTACCTCGCCCTGTAACGTTAGCCGTGAGGATTGCAGGGAGAGGATTGCAACAGCAGGATTGCAGGCGGGGACCTGTGATGACGGAGCAGTGCCGAGGGATTCCGAGGCGGGCAGGAGAATGAAAGGAGGACAGGAAAGAAGGGCAGTGTGGGTACCATGCAGAGGTGCAGGGCGGCGGCCACCGGGCAGTAAAGTACAAGAGGCGTTGTAATTCAGGTGAGGTGGCGTTCTAATCCGGGAGAGGTGGTGGACTAGCGCCTCGATGATCCTAGTCCTGGCAGCGCTCGCAGATGGCCAGGCCGGCCTGCGCCCCGCCCGCCTCGCGGCAGATATAGCGGCGCATGGCGGGGCGCAGCGTGGCGTTGAGCACAGCGTGCACAGCGCCGTCGATGGGGTGCACGATGAAGGGGATGGCTGCAGGCAGCAGGGGTGGAGCGCAGCAGGATGAGACCCCCAGGTACAGGCCCAGGAGGGAAGCCGCCACGTGCGCCGTGCATGCAAGCGCAGACACCCGCGTGAGATGGCTGCCCGATGGCGCCACGTCAGCGCAGCGCCGGCGCAGCGCACCCAGCAGGCCCAGCGCGGTGGGCACGCTCTTGTTGAAGGTGGAAAGGAAGATGTCGGGGCTGACGTCCAGCGCCGCCGCAGCCTGCTCAAGCGACGCCGCCACCTGCACGGCGGGAGAGCGGCACGGCACAGGAATGGGCTTGCGTGCCAGGTCGCCGAGCCGAGCCGAGCCACAAGTGGAGGGCACCGCTGCTGGCACGGATCTGCCGCTGCTCAGCTGAAGCCGCTCAGCTCCACTGCAACCCCAGCCCAGCCCATGGTGCCAGCATCGGCTGCGCGGCCTCGCCTGCTTCGACTCCTCGACGAGCTGCAGCAGCCAGTTGGCGGCGGCCACCACGGTGTGTATGGTGTAGCCTGGCGCCGCCACCGAGGCGATGAGCTGCCACACCAGCGTGTCCAGCCCGCGCTCCGCGCCGATGGTGATGATGAGCCTGCGGGGCGGCGCATGTGGTGTGCGTGTGCGCGCGTGTATGTGTGTGTGCGTGTGTGTGTTGCTTTTGATGTGGTACAGATCAGGCGCTGGTGCATGAGTAGGAAACGCAGGCCTGCGCTGGATGCCTGCCGAAGGCCGAGGCGGCGTCCGCAGGAGCCCGACCCGGCAGAGCGCGGGCTGGGCAGGCAGGCCATGGCCAGGCCGTGCAGGCGCCGCGAGCAGGCCAGGCGGAAGGGCCGCCCAGGCACGGCTAGCTAGCTCTGAGCCCCGCGCCTCACTTCTGGACGTCCACGGCGTCGGGCAGGGCGCGCGTGGTGAGCTTGAGCCGCGCGTCTGCCTCCGTCTTCTGCCACTTGTCGTAGGTGTCAAACAGGACGTAGCTGATGGCCACGGCATAGCTGCAGGGGGGGGTGGTAGGAGGGTCGGTAGGAGGGTAGGAGAGAAAAGTTTGTAGGAGGTTACCAGGGGCAGGTCGGCAAGACGGGGGAGAGGGAGGGGAGAGGGAGGGCGCGCGTGTCAGAGGAGCACCAACCACGCGGCGGATGGCGAGGCGTGGATGCAGGGGGAGGCGGAGAGGCACTGCCATGCCAGGAGCTCACGCAGCCACATCCCCAAGCTGCATCTGGTGGGTGCTGCAGCCGGAGCAGCCGCCTGCCCAGATCCCAGCCCTGCCCGCGAGGCCAGCCCACCCCTGCTCGTGAGGCCAGCCCACCTGAGCGGCACGCCGCCGGGGAAGAGCCAGGCGGCAAAGGCCTCCCCAAGCTCATTTGCATACCCCAGGTAGCGCAGGGGGCCGTCACGCAGCGGGTCGTACTCAGTCTTTTCCTCGCCGTCAAACGACATGGGCTCTGAGAAGTCGATTGAGGAGAGCAGGGCGCCCAGCAGGCTGTCGTCGCCGCCGCCGCTGCTGCCGGCGGGTGGAGCGTCCATGCCCATGGTTTCAAACAGCTCCACTTTGATGCCCTGCGGCCGAGGCTCTGGCGGCGTGGGCGGCGCTTGAGGCGCTGCGCCGGGCTGCTCCTGCTGCTGCCGCTCGGGCTGCACCGCCGCGACAGCGGGCGCTGGGCGGCGCTGCCGCCGCCGACGCTGCCGGTGTGCAGCGGGTAGAGGCTTTGGCGCTGCTGCGCGCGCCGCGCTGCTCAAGGCTGTTGAACACTGCATTGCCCGCGTGCCTGCGGGTGTAGGAGGGGCCGCGGGGCACCGAGGGCGAGGGTTGAGAGCGGGGTTAGAAGTCAGGGCTTGGTATGAGGCGGGCTCGATCGTTGATGTTTGGCAGCATGCAGATGACCCTGCGAGGTTCAAAGCTTTGAGGTGTCAAAGTCCACGCCAGCTGGCACCCCATTTTCTCTTCGAGGCCTCGCGCCCTCCCTTGAAGTCAATCGCCAATGCGATGAGCACCGTCACGGAACTGGCATGCCTGCTCAGCTCGGCCCTGGAGTCCCCGCAGCCAGATGCCCAACATGTGTGCGGCCTCCTGGCGCAGTTGCTGCAGCTGCTCGACTCTCCAGGGGCCGCGACCGAGCTGGATGATCTCATCTGCGACCTGCACGGCGCCCTGGTCCACGCCGCACAGCTGTCGCCGGCGGCTGAGGCGCACGTCCGCCGCCTGCTGGCAGCGGCGGCAGAGCAGTGCACCGCCCGCGAGGTGTTCACCCTCTGCATGTCCACCCTGTCCCAGCAGCTGAGGTCAGTAGAAAGAAGCCAATTGTGCAGCAGGGTCGCCTGCTCAGGCTGCAGCCGGGATGCATTGAAGCATACTCGGCTAGCCTGCCAAGAGCCCGCCTAACTCCCGCCTCCCATCTCACCCGCTGCTGCCTTGCTGCCCTCCCCGCAGCAGCAGGCACGGCGAGAAAGACGGTTCGGAGGACGGCCAGACACACGGTCCTGACAGCCCCACCTTCCAGCTCTTCCTGCTGTCAACGCTGCAGAGCTGCCTGCTGCGCATCCGCCGCCGGCCGCTCCACTTCCTGGCTGAGCAGCTGGACATGCAGCTGCGCTGGGCAGCCCGGGTGCTGCCCTGCCTGCCCCTAGGAGACGTAAATGGCAGCAGGACGGCCGCCGCGGCACCGCACAATGAGGCGCAGCCCACCGCACCGCTGACGGCAGCCGATGCTGTGGGTAGCCTGGCGGGCTTGGCGTCCCGCTCGGCGCGCTGGGCAGAGCAGGCCGGCGGGCAGCAGCTGTCGGCGCAGGAGCGGCAGGCGGCGCAGCAGCTGCTGGGCGTCGTGGTACTGCAGCTGGCTGCCATCGCCCTGCTGCTGCCACACAACCTGGAAGCCGCCGCTGCAGCGGTACCGTCCCAAGACCACACCGCAGCCCCGGCCGTGCAGCCCATCGCCGGCGGCAGGCTGCCTGCGATGCAAGTGGCGGCAGAGGCTGCGCTGGCGCTGCCGCAGGCGCTGCTGAGACAGCTGGCGGCCTGCACTGGCAGTGCCGCCAGCCCGGATGACCTATGGCAGCTTGCCGAGGGCACTCCTGCCCAGCTGGCCAGCAGCGGCGTGGACCCTGCAGACCTGCCTTACCTGTCGGCCACCGAGGCAGCTGAAGGGGCAGCTGCGGCAGCCTGTGCCGCCGCGGCTTTAGCGCCCGACTCGCCGGCAGCACCAGACCAGCAGCAGCGGCAGCAGCAGCACCGCAGCCTGCTGCTGGGCGTGCTGCCGCAGGCAGCCTGCCTGCTGCTAGACTTGGGGGCGCAGCAGCGCAGCGTGGCGCTCACCCTGCTGCCGCTGTGCGCGGTGTGCCGAGCCGGCGGCGCGGCTGAGGGCCAGCTGGGCGCCAGCTCAGCGCCACTAGAAGCCCTGCTGTCCACTCTTGTGGCCATCATGTCCCACAACCCGGTGCAGCTGCTCAGAAGCTGCGCCCACGACGCTGTGCACGCCCAACTGGGCGCGCTGGGACCACACGCCAGGCTGGAGCAGCTGCGCCGCATGATGCAGGTGCGGGGCGGGTGCTGGGGCAAGCCCTTGCCCAAGTGCATACCCTGCATGCTATCTCCCTTAATCCCCGCTCCCAGCCGTGTGCCCACTGACGCTGCTGCGGCTGCTCCTGCAGATGCCGTCCACGGCGGTGGCGGCGGTGGCCCTGCAGCGTCTGCGCCTGGAGATGGCAGCAGCCTGGGCCGGCGAGGCGCAGCAGCAGAGCCAGGAACAGCAGCAGGGGCAGCAGGAGCAGCAGGCGCAGCAGCAGGCAGGAGAGGAGGCAGCTGTGGGCGGCTCGCCCTGGCTAAGCCCAGAGGCCCTAGAGCTGGCCCTGCCCTGCCTGCAGCAGGGCGGCACGGCCGGCTGGCACGACGAGCGAGGGGTGCTGGAGCAGGCAGATGTGCAGGCCGCCGCGCTGAGCCTGCTGCGCTGGGTGGCGCTGCGTGAGGCGGCGGCGCCGCGCGGGCTGTTGCCGCGGCAGGCTGCGCAGCGGCTGTTGCAGCGAGACCTGCTGCCGCTGCGGGCCTGCGTGCAGCGCCTGCTGCAGATGCAGGCGCGCAGCGTGGCCGGCGAGCCTGATGGAAGCGGCGGCGGGAGCGACGCCGCGGCAGTACAGCAGCAGCTGCTGGATGGCTTCCTGGCGGTACAGCGACTGGACGAGGCGCTGGGCTGCGTGATTGACCTCTGGCAGCCCGCCAGCGGCGCTGCCTAGCTTTTTAGTGAGGCGCCGCAGGTGTTGGATGCGCATGCGCCTGCCCCCGCGCCTGCGCCTGCCCGTGCCCACTTTCTAGTTTCCGGCGGGCACAAGAACAGGCGTTTACAGGCATGTAATGAGCAGCGCAACAAGCCAAGGTTCAGGGCAACATGGACGCAGGTTTTGCACGCAGCAGGGGTCCTGGGGGCGTGGCCTTTCTGCACAATCCTTGCTGCCGGGCTCGCCGGCAGCGGCCGGCTGGGCAGCGCAGCAGCTGCCGGCGGCAGCCGGCGGCACCCATGGCGGCTACGTCGGCTTTGCCCACCCTATCGGGAGGGTTCGCCGGAGGCCTGAGGGGCGTCCTGCTTGGGCACATCCTCCATGGGTGCCCCCATTGGGTCGGTCTGGACCGCTACCGCCTTGGCGGCGCCCAGGTCTGCAGGCCAGCAGGCGTGTGGGGTGGGGCACGCTGCCTGGAAGCCTGCTTACTGCAGTGGCATGCGTGCCTGGGAAGGCGACGGGAGCCTCAGATGCGGAGGGGTTTTCAGGCAGCTGGGCCATCAAAGCAGGCATGGGCCTTGCCGCCACCTACCCGCGGTGCTCAGGTCAGAGAGCTTGCCCACGCTCAGGGCCTTCTTGGCCCTGCAGGTGAGCGGCGGCGGGGGGGGGGGGGGGGGGGGGGGGGGC